CCTCTTCCCAGCCCAGCTCCCCTGTTCCCCCGGGGGGCAGGCAGCGTGGCCGGGGCGGTGAGGCCCGTGAGGCGTGAACACAGGTGAATGTGGACCTGGAGTCCCGGGCTGCCCCACTGCTTATGAGACCTTGGGCTGAGCTCCGTTCGTCTCTGCTTGTAAAACAGGGGTGCACGCTGTCCCCCCCTTGACGGCCCCTGTCGGCTGGGAGGCCGGCTCAGGGCCCGGCGTGGAGCGGAGGCTTAATAAATGGTGGCTACCGTTATTATTTTTATTATTTCTGACGGTTTGGAAGGCGGTTCTCCAGAGTTCAGCACTGCAGGCTGTCAAGCCCTGCCTCCCTTGCATTTTACGCTGCCGGTGCCCTTGAGTTTCCCATTAACTTAATAGGTCTGGACATAAAGGAGCCAGTTGTTCATGGGATCCCAGAGCCAATCAACAATCTACCCTTCACTGCTCCCGTTCACTAAAATCGATACGTATTGATTGAACACCCAGGCCGCGTGGGGCCCGGAGGCTGCCCTTGAGGTGGCTTCATCCTCGCGCTGAGCCGGGAGGACGCGCCGGGCGAGTCTGTCTCCGGGTGTGGCCCCCGGACCAGCAGCGGCAGCGGCAGCATCTGGGAACATGTTAAAAATGCAAGTTCTTGGGCTGAGCCCAAGCCCTGCTGATTCCCACGTGTGAAGGCAGGGCCCAGGCACTGGGGTCGTCATGAGTATTCCTGACCTAAGGGCGCACCAGGATTTGAGAGACGTTGTTCTAAAGACCCGGACACAGCTGTTCTCTGAGAGGGGCCGCCTAGGGATCTGGGGGAGGAGACTGAGAGTCGGTGGGGGGACCTTGGGAAGGTGAGGTGGTGCCCTGACCCAGGAACGGGGTCCCCTCTCAGGCTTGGGCCGAGGGGAGGAGCCAGGGCTGCCACGGACCCACGTGACATCTCTGCCAAGTCAGACAAAGGTACCCCTTCCTCTGGGTAGAAGCTGCTGGTAGGTGGAGGGTGGGCTCCATTTCCATCTTCATTCGCTCCGCTTGTGTGCAAGGCTTAGGCCAAGTAAACGGTGGGCCCGGGAGCCCCATGCCTGCCCTCCCCCCGGGGGCTGGCTCCCGGGGTGCTGGCCGAACCAGGGAGATGCCCCTGCTGCCCGGACTCTCCCCCGGCCTCGGGCCTCAGCGGTCCTCTACATGGAACGGGCTGTGAGGACTGAAACCCTTGGGAGAAGCAGGCAGTCAAAGCACGGGTATGAAGACGGCAAGCCCCGGATGGGAGGAGGCGTCCTGCCCTGAGCCAGCGCCGGAGAGAGAATAGCAGGCATTCCACGTGCATGTCCCTCCGGAGCACTGCCGTCTGCCAGCGACGAGTCAGCAGACATCGACTGAGATATTGGACAAGCGGCTGAGTGTGTCCGAGGAGTAGGAAATGCTCTGGACCCCAGCCTGGCCTAATCAGCACCCGACAGCAGCCTTCTTCCTGCTGCCTTAGTCCCCCGACAAGGGGACCCTCTCGGGCTGACCCACAGACCCCTCAGCACAGGCAGGGGCCCGCAAGGAGCAGCCTTCCTCCCTCAGAACCCTCCCTGGCTGCCTGCTCCCCTGTTCTAAACAGCTGCTGTCCCCTCCCTTCATCCGGAAAGCCTTCCTGGGTTTTGGCTTCAGCTGGTCATCTGGGATGCCGCCTTAATTGTTCCTGGGGCTTGACTGGGGCTGTGCCCTCTTCCACATTCCTCTCTCTTCCAGAAGGTGACTTCCTGGAGGTAAGACCCTACTCGAGTCTCTTTGTCTTCTGTCTTCCCAACTGGGAGCCGGGTCTCTCTGTCTGTGAACGAGTTTCCCCTCTTCGGCATCTGTGGCCACACTTTGGGTGAAGTGAAGGCAGTGAAAGCCCTTCCCGGTCCAGCCCTAGGGGCCCCTAGACCTGCCTCGTTGGTACCTGCTGAGGTCTGGAAACCCACTGCTGTGGGGAGTTGCTCTGGGGCTGCTACGCCTCTCCCAGCCCCAGACCGCCGTCTAACACATGCGGGAGAGCCACTCCCTGCAAGGCCGGCTTCCGGAGGAAAAGTCTGCGGGGCGGCTGGACCATGTGCATCCATCCAAGTGCCCTTGGAGATGCGCACGTGTTTCTGCTGTCTCCATAGCGAGGATGTACCGGCTCTCATCTCTTCTGGCCCAAAGGTGGATAAAGCCCCAGTCCCACGTCCTCTTTGGTAAGACTAATAGTGGCCAGAGGGCTAAAGGAGACTGATGCTGAAAAAGGAAGTGGGGCTCCCAGGAGAAGGAGCCTCTCGGCCGGACTGCAGATGGCGCTCTGGGTAGCTGTAGCTGCGTTAGAAACTTGCGGTTTGTATGCGGACACTTCTTGTGCCGGCTTTCCCATTCCTTGGCGGTCGTCTTTAACATCTGCCGCATGTCTTACCCCTCTCCAGAAGTTTCCTTCTCTGAGGTCACAACTATCTTCTGGTTCCTGAAACCAGGGAGACGCAGGTGCCATCTTCTCTGGGTCCTGGGTCGGATGCCATGCAGCACAGCTCTCCTTCCCCTTGGTGGGCTTCTCCTCTGTTTTCACACTGATGTGTTCCGAGAATGTCCTTCGGTGCTCCTTGACCTCTCTCCTGTTTCTCTGGATCACCTCAATTGCCCCATCACCTCTGTACATGTTTCCCGAATTCCACCTCTGCTCCATGCCCCCCACCCCCCCAGCCTGCTTCAGTACATCCAGCTTCCTGGGGACATTTTTAGATGCGGTCCCTGCCAGTACCTCAAACTCAACATGCCTCAAACTAAACCCCGTATCTTCCTCTGACACCAGCTGTAGCCTCCGACCTCCCCTCTCTGTTAGGAATAGTCTCACCTACACTTGAAAGTTAAAGTCATTGAAGTTTCTTTCCTGCCTCTATCTCCATCTCTTTCAAAAATCTGATTGGCATTTCCAGAATTTCTCTGCCATGTCTTTTCTTTTCTTATTTGCTCTTTATGAGGTCTGGACCCTCCCTTCCTCGAATAGCTTGCTGCACAGAGATTTTCCTCCATGGGTAGCTTTCTGTCCCATTCACCAGACTCAGTGCTGCCAAGTTCATCTGTCCATCACCCAGGGAGGATCATGTCACTCTCTACCTCAGTCCTTTGGTTGGGAGGCCTCATACGAGTGGCGGCCATGTACTACGGAGCCAGGAGGATCTGGGTGACATTCTGACTCATTAACTGAACACCCAGGAGAGTGAATGGTCCTCAGTAAAGACTGTTTTCTGGACTGATTCAAGCACAAGTCATTTTATGATTACTTTTTATAATTTCCATAGTAGCTCACCCACCTCTCTCCCTCTCAGTATCTGTTACTTCTTTTTGTTTTTTTATTCAAAACTTCTTAAGTTCATTTATTTATTCTGAGGGGAAGGGAGGAGCAGAAGGAGAGACAGAGGAAGAGAGAGAATCTCAGGCAGGCTCCGCTTGTCAACATAGAGCTCAACATGGGGCTCCATCTCATGAACCATGAGCCGAAATCAAGGGTCAGATGCTTAACCGAAATCAAGAGTCAGATGTTTAACCAGGTGCCCCTATTACTTCTTCTTTTTTTTTTGTATCTATTTTGGTTTCTGTCTTCTCATTTTTTTATTCATTTATTAATAAATGGATACTTTTAAAAGCATGAAAAATGATATAGAACATATCAACACGTATGGTTTCAGTGGGTGCAGCTGTAATAGACGTCAATTCATAGATATCAGTGCCTTTATTTGTACTTGGGTAGGAGACAGCCTACTGACCATCAAAACCCATCCGCTTCTTTCTGCTTTGTAATCCAAGCCCGGGGTGCATGGTTCCCCAGTTAGACCTCATCTCTTATTTTCCTGTCAGGTTGTATGTGATACTGTGACTAATTTATTTCTGATAGAATATGAGCAGAGTGAAGCATTTCCAGGCTTAGCCCATAAAATCCTCTACGCGTGGTCCCCTGCGTTCACTCCCTTTTTGGCTGTTCGGGATGGCATCCCAGCAGGTGGTCAGGTGGCCTTGGAAGCAATGTGTTGAAGCTGGCAAGGCCACCATTGGCTTGGATACCTGAGTGACTGTGTGGAGCAGAACTGCACTGAGCTGGAACGCTTATCCCAGACAGTTCTGTGCGAATGAACATGTCTTTTACTCCTTAAGCTACTGAAAATTGGGGGTCCGTTACAACTAGTTAGCCTATCCTACCAAATATATTAAAAAGAAATTTTTTTATGTTTATTTATTTTTGAGAGACAGAGAGAGAAAATTACAAGTGAGGGAGGGGCAGAGAGAGAAGGAGACTCAGAATCGGAAGCAGCCATCAGCACAGAGCCTGATGTGGGGCTTGAACCCACAAACCATGAGATCATGACCTGAGCCAAAGTAGGACACTTAACCGACTGAGCCACCCAGGTGCCCCATCCTCCCAAATATATTACTCATTTCTTACGATAGGCATAATTTCTAAAATTACCCCCAAAGATGACCCACCCTAATAGCCAAAACTGTGAGTATGGTGAAATATTACCCCCATGATTATGCCACGTTACATGGCAAATTGATCTTAAAGTTGGGAGATGGTCCTAGGTTATTCAAGTAGATTCAGTGCATTTATATGGGCCCTTAAAAGCGGAGAACCTTCTTTGGCAGCTGGCGGTAGGGGAGACCAGAAAGGTTCAAAGCAGGAGAGGGACTCAATGGACCATGGCTGGGTGGTGGATGCAGGGGCCCATGTGAGAAAGTGTGAGGAAAGCCTCCGGCAGCAGGGGGTGGTCCCTGGCCGACAGTCAGCAAGGAACCTGGGACCTCAGATACATAGCAGCTGCAAAGAACTGGATCGTACCCGCAACCTGGGTGAGCTTGGGATCATAATTTTCCCTGAGCTTCTAGAGAACAGGTCAGCCTGGCTAACATCTTAGTTTCTGCCTTGTGAGACACTGAGTGGAGAACCAGATGAGCCCACTTGGAATTCTGACCTATATATGTGTGAAATAAAAAATGAGCATTGTTGGCGCAGAGGCTTCTGGGAGCGTAAAAGATGACGACAGCAGCTAGACCAACATTTGAGCCTGCAAGAGGTGGGAGAGGAAAAGGAGAAGGTGATTTGAGTCAGCTCTCAAAACAGTATTCAAGTAGAGACCTACCTTCGCATACAAAGATAAAATATAGACAAACCACTCAGGATGCCCCTGAAGAGGTTCGCAACCGTGACTTCAGGAGAGAGCTGGAGGAGAGAGAGCGAGCTGCTGCAAGAGAAAAAAACAGAGATCGTCCAACACGAGAACATACAACCTCCTCGTCAGTGTCAAAGAAACCTCGGTTAGACCAGATTCCTGCTGCCAACCTTGATGCAGATGATCCTCTAACAGATGAGGAAGATGAAGATGAAGATTTTGAAGAGGAGAGTGATGATGATGACACTGCAGCTCTTCTTGCAGAACTAGAAAAAATCAAAAAAGAAAGAGCTGAAGAGCAGGCCAGGAAGGAACAAGAACAAAAAGCTGAAGAAGAAAGAATACGTATGGAAAACATTTTGAGTGGAAACCCTCTCCTTAATCTCACTGGCCCATCCCAGCCTCAGGCCAACTTCAAAGTTAAAAGAAGGTGGGATGATGATGTTGTTTTCAAGAACTGTGCAAAAGGTGTAGATGATCAGAAGAAAGACAAAAGATTTGTAAATGATACACTGCGATCTGAATTTCACAAAAAGTTCATGGAAAAATATATTAAATAGTACAGTTTTATGTGCTTAATTAAAGACTGTAAAATGTAAATGATCATTCTGACTTTGTTCTGTTTTCTCTTTCCCCGTCTACATTGTGCAAAGGCTTCCCTAATTTTAAGTTCCAAAATACACTCTCTTTTATGGATCCCTTATTTGTTAAGGACTTGGGAATTGGTTTAACGTACTTTCCATTCGTGGAATATTTCCAGTCATGTTTTCCTTCTAATATGGGAAAGGGAACCTTCTTGCAATAAATGTTTTAAAAAAAAAAAAAAAAAAAAAAAAAAAAAAAAAAAAAAAAAAAAAAAAATGAGCATTGTTTTGGGGTGTCCAGCTTTGGCTCAGGTCATGATCTCACAGTTTTGTGAGTTCGAGCCCCACATCAGGCTTTATGCTGACAGCTCAGAGCTTGGAGCCTGCTTCAGATCCTGTCCCCTCTCTCTCTGTCCATCCCTGGCTTGTGCTCTGTCACTCTCTCTCAAAAATAAGTAAACATTAAAAATATTTAGAATAAAAAATGGGTGTTGTTTTAAACCACTCAGCTTGTGGTATTTGTTATTCAACAATAAAACCAATGTGATCCCTTAAAGGTGGGGGTTTAAATCTTGCCTCTGTTCTCTGTGAAGTCCAAGGATAGTGCCTGGCATGTGAGAGCTTATATAACTTTGGTTGAATGGATAAATGAGTTCAGGTGGGAGGTGAGTGGGAATCCTGAGAGATAGATCAGAGGTCTGCACCCCCTTTTTATAAAGGGCTGGACAGTAAATATTTGGGCTTTGAAGCCCTGTCACAACTGCTCAACTCTGTCACTGTAGGGCAAGAGCAGCCATAGACAGTATGTAAATAAATGTGCATGACTGTGTTCCAATAAAACTTTATTTAAAAACAGATGGTGGGCCAGATTTGGCATGCCAGCCATAGTATACTAGCCCTTGTATAGGGTACTGGATCTTTGATCTGGTACTTCCACTGAAAGAGATGGAAGCTTTGCATAGAACCACCTATTTTAAAGAAATGTTTTATGGACAGAAACAGTTTCTACCACAAGAAAATACTTGGTCAGTAATTCTGCAGGTTGCCTTTTCACTCTGTTAATGATTTCTTTTGCTATGTAGAAGTGCTTTATTTAGTTGGTTGCAGTTTTACTTATCTAATTGTGCTTTTGTGTGTCTAATTGTGCTTTTGGATACCTTTTCCTTATTGTGTATTCTCGGCACCCTTGTGAAAGATGGGTTGATCGTGTATGTGTGGATTTATTTCCAGGCTCTCTATTCTGTTCCTTTGGTCTATGTGTCTGTTTTCATGCAAGTACCACAAAGTTTTAAGTGGGAGAAAACATTTTCAAAATATATATCTGGTAAATGATGAATATCCAAAATATATAAAGAATTCTTATAACTCTGTAACAAAAAAACACCCCCACCAAGAAAAACCACCCCCCTCCCCAATAAGTGGCCAAGGGACTTGAAAAGACATTTTTCCATAGAAGACATACAGATAGCCAACAGATACTGAAAAGATGCTCAACATCACTAATCATCAGGGGAATGCAAATTCTAGTCACAATGAGACACCGAGTCATACCTATCAGGATGGCTATTATCAAAACACAAAAGCTACATGTTGGTGAGGATGTGGAGAGATTGGAAACACTGGACACGGTTGCTGGGAACAGAAAATGGAGCAGCCACTATAGAAAACAGTATGGTGGTTCTGTAAAAAATTAAAAATGGAATAACCATATGATTAAGCAATCCCGCTTCTGAGTATTTATCCAAAAGATTTCCGTCAGGATCAGGAAGACATATCTGCAGTCCCATTTATTGCAGCAGTATTCAAATAGCCAAGACATGGAAACAACCTAAGTGTCCATCCACCGATAAGTGGATAAAGAAAATGTGGTCCATGCGTAGCATGGAATATGATCCAATTTCAAAAAAGAAAGTAACCCTCCCATTTGTGATAACATGGGTCAACCTTGAGGACATTTTGCTACATGAAAGCAGCCAGTCACAGAAGGACGGAGCTGCAGGAGTGCACTTACAAGAGGTCGCGGATGGAGTCAGATTCATATAAACAGAGAGGAGAATGGTGGTTACCAGGAGCTGGGGGAGGGGCACAATGGGATTGCTAGTCAGTGGCTGTAAAGCTTTAGTTATGGAAGCTGAATGAATTCTAGAGATTTGTATAGCACTGTGCCTATGGTTAAGGACACCGTATTGCACCCTTCAGTTTTGGGTAAGAGGGTAGATCTCCGGCTAGGTGATCTTACCACATAAAAAAGAAAGGGAATGCTTCGTCGGGCTTGAGAGTCATTGTCATTCCAGAACACGTGGAGCATCTTGGTTCCTGGGGACATGAAACCCATGTGCAAAGGCCCCTTCTCTTTCTTTAGCTTTGGAGAATCTTTCCGTCAACATGGCCCTAGGTGGGTCTCCCCTCTTTCATCGAGGTGGACCCGGCCTCAGTGCCTGGAGGCAGGACCGGCCTGGCGCGCTTACAGGGTGTGGGGTTCATTCTGCTTCTGTTCTGCTGAGCCCTCCCCCCCGGGGGAGGGGGCTGCAGCCCAGGTGAGCTCCCCCCAGGCAGCCTCTGTCAGGACTGGTACCTTGCTTCTGGGCCTGCCTGCCCATCCTTCATGAATTTTTATTAAACAAAACTGTAAGCAGATTGATTTTGTCCTCTTTTATTGCATTTTTATTTAATTCCCTTCCATGGCGGGGGCTCCATCATGTTACCGCAGAGTAAATCACTCCGGGGCATCAGGCCAGCGCCGTGGAGAAGGGCAGGGTCTGGCTTCCCAAGAGCACATTTACCGCATAAGAACCTTTATTAGCGGAGAGTCATTGATTTTTTTTTTTTCAGGTCACAGCCCCTTCACCATCCTTTAAAGAAGAGAGTATCACAAAGTTACAGTGGAAGAGAGACTCTGGGGGGCCAGGGTCATGGGGTGTAGGCTTGTCTCCGGGTCCCGCAACACCCGCACCCCTCACCAGCCAGAACTCTGCACTTACTGGGTGTGGGCGTGGGAGAAGCACGGAGAAGGAGAGGTTCGGGGGGACGGTGCATGGGTGGTACATGAGGGTGGAAGGGAAGAGTAAGTCCAGCAACAGAACAACTGAACCTCATTGAAAAAGAAAATTAAGGGTGGCTCTAGTTCAGCCGCAGAAGTTTGTCTACAAAATCAAACCATGAGAATTACAAATCAAAGCTTCTCCTTTGGTAGCTCCTGTGTGTGCACTCCGGGTAAAGGATTTGGGGCTTTTATTCTCAGGAGCTGGAGAGTCACTGAAGGTTTTGGAGCAAGGCAATAACAGAATATTTTCTTTGCCTCAGGAGGTTAATCTGGCAGTGGCATATAAAGTGAACTTGAGAGTTCAGGGACAGGAGTGGAGGCTAGAAGCCAGGGCATCTGGTGAGGAGCTAGGGTTGAGTCTAGGCACAGGGCAACAGGAACCTGGTGTGAAACAGTGGAGTCGTAGAAATGGCAAGCTGGAGACACATTAAATGAGAAGGGGGTTGTCAGAGGTGGCTCAGGTATTTTTGTCAATTGCAGAAGGAAGTTAAAGCAGAGAAGCAGGTTTGAGCAAACAAAATGGGGAGCCGAGTTTTGTACACGCTCATTTAAAAAGTAAAAGAAACAGGGGTGCCTGGGTGGCTTAGTTGGTTAAGTGTCTGACTTTGGCTCAGGTCATGATTCTTGGATTTGAGCCCTGCGTCCAGCTCTCTGCTGTCAGTGCCGAGCCTGCCTTGGATTCTCTGCCTCCCTCTCACTCTGCCCCTTCTCCACTTGCATGCTCTTTCTCAAGAATAAATAAAATTTTAAAAGTAAAAGAGGGGCACCTGGGTGGCTCAGTTTCTTGGGCGACCGACTTCGGCTCAGGTCATGATCTTGAGGTTTGTGAGTTCGAGCCCCGCGTTGGGCTCTGTGCTGACAGCTCAGAACCTGGAGCTTCTTTCAGATTCTGTATCTCCCTCTCTCTCTGCTCCCCATGCTCATGCTCCATCTCTCTCTCTCTAAAAAAAGAATAAACATTAAAAAAAGTAAAAGAAAATACATGTATACTTGTCATTGCAAAGTTGTGCAGGCACAATGCAGAAAAATTTGAAAAATTAGAGGGAAGTATAATAAAGAAAATATAAACTATCTTTAATCCCTCCACTGTGATTTGCCTTTGCAGTGGTTAATACAATTTGGTATGCATCTTTCTAGGTAGATAAATAAAATGAATCATGCTACCAAAGTTTCTTCAAAAATATGATTCTTAATGGCTGCATATTACCTTATCATCTGGACACACCAAAATTGATTTAGCTGTCCACATATTGTCGGACTTCCACTTGATTTATAGTTTCTCTCTACTATAAATAATGCTGTGGTGAACATCTTGGTGTATACATCTTTGTCTGTATCTCTGATAAATTTCTAAAGTAAAATTATTGAGTTAAGGGTTATAATCATTTTAAAGGCTCTTAATTCATATTGTCAGACGCTCACTAGACACTGATATAGTGTCGGTATGTGTTCATTTCACAGCACATTTATCAACACTAAGATTATTTTGATTTTTTAAAGCTTTGCCAATTTTGTAGTAAAAAAACAGGATACGCCACTGTTTGTTTCTTATTCACTTTTTATTACTAATACCTTGATGATAATTTTGGGTGTGCCTACTGGTCATTGGTCACTTTCTATTTCTTCCCTTTTGAGATTTGTATTGTTTGTCTATATTTCTATCGGAGAGTTGCTTTTTCTACTTACCAATTTATAACAGGTTTTGAAGATTTGCTTTTCATACATGTTGGAGATTTCTTTTTTTTTTTCCATTTCTCACATAGCTTTCAAATGTTTGTTTCTAAGGTGCTTTTGACAAGTAGAATTCTGAAGTTGTAAATGGTCATTGCTATTAATCTTCTTTTTGTATTTTTTTTCTCTTTCTGTTACACTTTGAAGATCCTCAGAAAGAGACCAGGTAAACATTTACCTATAGCTTCGTCTAATAACTTGTGATTTTATTTCTTTAATTTGTTTCTTTAGTTGACATTGGACTG